TGAAAAAGGGAAAAATATGAGCTAAAATAGAGCTGAGATATATCTGTACTCTCCTCCTACACCCTTCCCAGAAAAGACTCATACTTACTGCTTCATAGTCTGCCAATTCCAGCCTTGCTTTATTCTGCATTGTCCTCTTGCAGAGATAGATGGCTGAGAGAAGAAGAGAAATTACAACATGCATAAAACCAGCAGTGTGGTAGAATCGTAAATCCATCCATTCATCTGTCCATCCAACTCATCCATCCGTCCAGGCAGCCTGAGCAGCTGGCTAAGTATGCAGCCCTGCGCTGTGATGGATATGTTTCTATGTGGAAGCCATGACAGTTGACCTCTAGGAATCTTTCTGCAGGTCAGGATTGGACAAGGACCCCATCTTCCAATCCTGACAGCTCCCCTCCATCCTCCTCACTCTGCTTCACCCAAAACGTCCTCCATCAGGGTGATCTTTCTCAAATATATGACCATGTTACCGTCCTGCTTGAACCCCTGCATTGACTTCTCAGTGACCTCAGGATAAAGGCGGGGCTTCTTAGCATGTTTGGTTCTTTAAGATCCAGTCTTTGCTTATCTTTCTCACGCAGGCATGTGAGGCTACCAAATCCCTCTCAGCTCTACTCCTTTGTATGTGTCTGCTGCATGGGAAGCCTTTCCTTCTTCTCTCTTCTCCCCCTTTGTCTATCTGGCAACCTGCTACTAATCTTTAAAGGCCCAACTTGGTGTTTCAGATAGCTTGGTGTTGCACCTACCCATCCTCAACCAAGAAACCTGATTCTAGTGAACTGTGATCTTGGGTTTATTAGACTGTCCCCTGCTCTAGGCTGAAGGCTCTTCAAGGGCAGAGGCTGTGTCCTATGTACCTCGAATCCCTGTACCTAGCACCAGAGCCTGGCCTGCCAGATGGAGAGAATGGACAGTGGAAAGGGAGGACAATTTAGGTCTCTGTTCCCAAGCTATGAAAGGGTTCTTAGTCCTCAGTTGCGAGGGCATTCTTCCTCAAACATGGCTTTCATCATTTCCTCTCCCTAATTCTTCTCCTTCAGTATCTCCCTCCTTCTCCAATGCCAGGTAGGCTGATCCGTGGAAGACAGTAGGTGAATGGTATGAATGAACAATTGAATGATTGGGAGGGAAGGGCAGAGTGGATCTATATGTTGTTTGACAACTTAAATATACTAGGACATCTAGTCAACCCCTTTCAGGATTAACCAGCCTCCTCCATGGGGTCTGAAAATGTTACTGATGGCAGCTTATGATATGCTGGAACCTTGCGGCTAGCAGCCTCCGTTGCTGTACCCACACTTCTGCTCACACCATTCGAGTTGTATGTGGTAGAGAGTCAGTTGTATTTCTTCTCAAATTTGCTTATGTTAGGTACACTTGTTATTTTAATAACATAAGTTCACTATAACGTAAGTACACATCACACGCACTGAAGCAATTAATGTGAAAAGAGAGAGTGGTTTCTATGAAGTCCCAGTTGAATGGTTTGGAATAGCTTTATAAGGGAGAGCTGGCTAAGACAATTGCTAATGAATTTGGTACTAGGTGCGATAACTGAAAAAAATGGGGAAAAAATAATAAAAATTTCCAACGGGTCAACATAGAGATTGCTTTAAAAGTGTTTCTTTAAATTCTTGATGCACTTTAAAGATGCCAAAACTGGATGGCTGATTTTGAGTATGGTTTATTCAAGGCAGAAAACTCAAATGATTGGGACCCATTATCAAATAGAACCAAAGAGTCCTACCTTAAAAGGCTGCCAAAGGACTGTTCCTTTGTAGATCGTCCATTATTGTGAAGTGATTAAAGTGTGTATATATCATTTTCCATGATTCTCTACTTACCAGCTTTTCCAGTGAACCAAGCAGCTACAGCTCTCTATTGTGTCTGATAAAGGAGTGCCTGCTCTATTACAAGGTACCGGCTTCAGGCTCTGGGACCACCAGTGAGGCAGCCTGTGGAATGGTGGGCAACCTGAAGCAGGAAGCCTGGCATGTCAGCAGCCCCAGCAGGCCTGGTCTCGATAAGCCAGGGGTAGTGCAGGTCGGTGGAGGTGGTAGCCGCTTTGACAACGCTGCCTCCGACAGTCTTTTGCATTGGCCAAATGTGAAATGCAGGAAAGTCTAAGCCAGATGTGGGCTTTATTTAGGCAGAATCATCCTGAGAAATTTCCAACCCATCTGGGTCAAAAATGGGCCAGCTAGGTTATGAAGTACCATGTGTAGAATGCAAAGCCGGTGCCGCCCCTGATAACCATGAGGTACATGGCTGCATGCTTTCAGCCCACTTCCCCTGTGGCTAATGTCACATATTAGGGAGTCTGCTCACCAAAAGTAGGGAGGTAGGATGTAGGTATTGAATGGACCTCTTCTTGGCACAGGCCTTACCTGGGTTTGTCTGCACTACCTGGTGCCTTCACCAGAGCTTGCTCTACATCTAACCAATCAAATGGCCACTGGTCTCACCAGCCAGTCCCATATCGGGGCATCTGGGGGACTTGCTTTAAGCTCAGTTGTTGGTTTTTATTGGATATTTAATTTCTCATTGAAAAACCTTTGTTTTCTGGCTCTCGCATTTGGCATTCCCCCCTCACTGGCAGCTCAGTCTCATGTGGATGACCCACTGCCATCTCAAGCTCACCGTGTCTCACCATGACACAAACAGAACACGTTAAACAATTTTATAAAAAGGGCCAGCTGAGGGGCTGAGTTGGTTAGGAGTTGGCGTGGGAGCGCAAGCT